GCCGTCGGAGACGCCGAGAGGGCCGGGTACCGAGGGGCCGGGGCCGGAGCCGCAGCCTCCGCGGGCCAGAGCGAGCGGGGCTTCGGCGCCCTCGCGCCGGGCTCCGACCTTGCACGTGTGCGAGGCTCGGGCCACCGAGGGCCTGGTCTTTCCCCTCCAGATCTTCCTCCCTTGCCTTGGTCTGAAACACAAAAGGTGAACCCGAGGAAATGGGGCGCCACCAACACGCCCGCGCATGGCCCCTCTGGCTATTTCCTTGAGGCGGTGGTATTGCCCGCGACTTTGGGCTTTTTCTGGGAAATAGGGCTTGTCACTCACTTTCTTAACCATGAGGACGCCCCCCCCCATCAGAAACATAGCTCACTTGTAAGCGCAAAATGACAGTTTGTAAAGTACCTGGCACACTTCTGACAAATTGCAAATATTAGTGCAGTGAAAATAATAGCAGTTTTATGACTTCTAAATATTTCTACCTTCTGTGAAGCTTTAATTCTTGGGGGAGGCGGGGTGAGACAAGCTTTCGCTGTGCAGTTCAGGCTGTCCTTGAACTCACTGTGTAGCCCAGGCTGTCCGCAAACTCACAGCGATTTTACCTCAGTCTCCCCAGTGCTGGGATTGCAGGCGTGTGCTGCCACACCCGGTCAAACTTTAATTCTTGCACACTGTAAAAACTTACGTTGAAATATTTTCAGAATTACCGAAAAGTTTTAAAAAGTAATGAAGAATTCTCCTCAGCTTCCGTTCTTAACATTGTGCATACCATACTACAGTTATCGAAAGCAAGAAATTACCAGAACAATACTAACTGAGCGTTTTTTAATTTCATCTTATTTATTTACTTGGAATGTCCTTGCTGTTTTTTAGGATCCTATCCAAGATCCTCACATTGCATTTAGTTGTCATGGCTACTTCATGTCTTCCGCTTTGAGACGGTTCCTCAGTATTTTCCTGTCCTTCATAATCTTGGCACTTTTGAAGAGTTCAAACAGTGCTTGTCCAGTGATTTGTCATGATGAGATTAAGGTTGTGCATTTTTGTTAATACCACAAAAATGTGTCTGCCCTTTTCAGTTTATCCCATCAGGCCACCTGATGTGACTTACTGCTTGTGATATTAATTTTCATCACTTGATCAAGATGGTGTCTGCTGGGATTCTCCAGTGCAAACGTACTATTTTTCCCAAATTGATACATAGGAAGAAATTTTTAAATTAAGTAAACATCATGTCTCTTCAAACTTTCCCTTCATAAATTTAGTACCCATTACTGGATCTTGCCTTCAATAATTAATAGGGTGTGTTCTCATATTTTTTTATTATTCATTTTATGTCACAAATTGGCCCAGCCTGGATGATTGGGAATTTTTTTCAGGTTGCTTTTTGTACCTTTCTGATAGGCCTCTACTTTTTAGAGAACATTCTTTCTAACATCATAAGATGCTCCAAACCCACTTCTCCAAGGACCTCTGGTTTCTTATTTTGGAGAAAGGTATTTAGACAGCAAGATCAGTGCTGTAGGTGTGCTCGTTACTACTGGGTTGACCTTGTTTGTAAAGCCTGGAAGAAGACAGCAGTGTATGTGTATGCATACCCATGCATACATACAATAAGATCCCTGTTTTTGTACTTACCTATGTATTTTTAAAACACAAAAGTTTAGCCCAATAACTGATTCTGTTCCAACACCACTGGATTCATCCTAGTTTTATCTCTTATTTGTAACTCTGATGATGAAAAACTGACACTCGTACTCTGAATATCTATTTGTTCAGTCCTTGTATACACTTAAAGTAATTTTGTGATTTCTAAAGTATACTCCTGAGAGAAACATACAGTGCTGGTATATGGTGCAGAATTTTTGTCTTTAGCCTTATTAGTATTCAGTGAAATTGTTGCTTGCTGTCTCCATTTATTTCCATTCTGTTATGCTGGTCATTTATAGTAAGGCTAATCTTACTTTTGATAGTTTATATTTCAAATTGGGTTTCTTCCACATCATGTTTTTTAAAAATTTATAGAAGCATTCACTCTTGTGGTATATAGTTCTATATAGGTTTTGACAAGTGCATATGGTTGTGTATATGGCACTATAGTCATAATGGAAGAATAATTCCATATACCAAATAGTGTATCATACTTTTTAAATATTAAAAAATATAATTTCACAAAAATTTGGGGAATTAAACATTTTTGTATATTTTACTTTGTCTTTTTTAGGGATTTAACACAGATGAGATCTTAATGTAAATACATTTTCCTCATATTTTAATAATATCAGAAATACGTTCCAATTTTATGATTGAAAAATCTAGGAATTCCAAACTATATTTTTACTCATTGTTCAGTCATACTTCTAAAGTATGATTTGATATTGGATTAGTATCTTCCCATAACAACTTAACAAACATTTCAGCAATTTATACAACATTTTGTTTCCAAACATGATACATGCAGTTATTTGAATTTTATGTTCTTAGTTTTATATGGGAATTTTATTATAATTTTGTAAAAATAGAAAATAGTACAGAGAATATATTAAACACTAGCTAAAAGGAGAACAAGAATTGGAAAAGTGTTTGGGAGGTTTATGGGGCAGATTCTCCTCCCTGAGAAATCATTCTTGCTGAGGGAGAACCTTTTCTTTGTATCCACAAAACTGAGGCAGAGGCATGTGTAATTCTGATCTGGAAAAAAACACTTTTGGAACTCAAGAAAAAAAGCTGTAAGGTAGCCGGGTGTGGTAGCACATGTCTGTAATCCCAGCACTGGGGAGACTGAGGCAGGAGGATCGTTGTGAGATAGAGACCAGCCTGGGCTACAAAGTGAGCTCAAGGCCAGCCTGAACTGCATAGCAAGACCCTGTGTCAAAAACACAAAAAAAAGAAAAAGAAAAAAAGAAAGCTGTAAGGTAACACCAAAAACAAGTGAAATATTTAATAATAAACCAGGAAATGTTAATGTTAGAGAAATAACTGATATATTAACATATAAATTGACACAAAATAGCAGTACCCTGTAGTAAAATAAATGCACAGTAGGAACAGACAATTCATGAAAGAAAAGGGGTAAATGGATGAGAAATCAATCATATTAGTAATTTAAGGGATTCACATTAAAGCAATAGATACCCCTAATCAGATGGTTAAGAAGAATGGAAACACCCAATAAATTCATAGGAATATGGATAAGTGGACATTGTGATTACTTGCTGGTGGGACTATAAGTCAGCATACCCTTTTGTGGAACATTTGACAATATGTGTATTAGAAAGTGTGACTATTTAATATTTCTATTTCCAAGTATTTAAGGAATCATAGGTTGAAGTATGGATATAGGTGAAGAAGAGTAATTACATTAGAGTTTATAGTAGTGGAAAATTAGAATCACCCTTAATAGCCAAAAATAGAAGATTAAATTATGAAACATATACATAATGTAATACTGTGATGCTAGAAAAAGTTGTAAATAGAAATTATTACATGGAAACCCTTTTCTTATATTTAATCACATTATTAAAAGTAAGTCCTTTGTCATTCCACCCCTTTGGATTTATTTTCTTTATTAGTTTTTTTTTTTTTTTATTTTTTGGTCTTTTTGAGACAGGGTCTCACAATGAGTTCAGGCCGGCCTTGAGCTTACTTTGTAGCCCAGGCTGGCCTCGAACTCGCAAGGATCCTCCTGCCTCAGCCTCCAAGTGCTGGGATTACAGGTGTACACCACCACGCTCAGCCTGTTTTCTTTATAATTGAAATATGTCTTTCAGTAGTTTTTTTAATGAGGGGCCAAGTAGTCAACTCTCAGTTTTCCTATATCTGAAAAAGACTATTTTACCTTTACTGTAAATGGTAATTTACTTGGGTTTTTACTAACTCCTGAGCACTTTGACGCTATTCCTATCTTTTGATATACTACTTTGATGAACAGTTTCCTGCTTTTGTTGTTTTCTTTTTGTTGTTGTTGTTGTTTTCATATACCTGGGTTTTTAAAATTTTGTTTTGTTTTGCTGTGTTACAGACTGAACTCAGGGCCTTCACAGTGAGTTTCTTCCCCAATCCCCCCCCCCCCATTTTTTTGAGACAGTCTCCAGAAGTTGTTAAATTGCTTTATGATTCTCCTGACTCAGCTCCCCAAGGTGCTGGTATTATAGGTGTGTATCTCCACCTCTAGCTCATTTATCTTTTTTTCTTTTTGAAGATGGAGTTTCCTGTAGTTCAGGGGTCCTTGAATTGTCAATCCTATCCTGAGTGCCGGGATGACACGTATGTGCCACCACACCTAGTTTATCTTTTATCTCTGTTTTGCTTTGTATGCTTTTTTTTTTTTGTCCTTGATGTCCTTTTTATGCATTTAGGTGTTTTGTTTTTTTTTTATTTATGTTTGGTGCATATGTGCTCTTTTCAGTTTGAGATTTTTAAAAATGTTTTAATTCTCAACACAGTCTGAGTAATTTCTTGTCACCATTTCTTTATTCTTTCTTAATTGTTTTTCAGTTCATTATTTTTATCCTTTATGTTCTTTATCTTCTTTTTAATGTTTTTTTATATGTGAACACTTAATCTCTATGATCCCTGGGCTAACACGTCATAATCCAGTGGGATTAACCTGGTCATACATTGTAGTGTGAGAGAGATTGTGGCTAGTGAGGTGGCATGAGAGTGTGGTGTACAGCAGTGATTTTCAAGTTTGGCCAAGCAGTGGAACCTATTATTCACATAAAATCTCGTAAGCTGCAATTTACAAAATAGATGTGAGTAAATTTTCTCCAGGTAAAGCAAGTGTTAGCTCATGGAACCTGCTCCCTTTCTGCCCCAAAGTTATATAGCCTTGGACTTTCTGGAACATTGGTAAAAACACTGGTGCACACCTGTAGTTGCAGCACTTTAGAAGGCTGAGGCTGGAGGATCTAAGTTCAGGCTCACCTTGGACAATTTAACCTGTCTCAGAATAAAAAGTACACAAAGGGCTGGGGATGTAGCCCAGTGTGAAGGTCTAAGGTTCACTCACCAGTAACAAGCATGGGTGCACGGGCATGCGCGTGTGCACACACACACACACACATACACATACAACTGCTGATAGAGTAGGAACAAAAGATTACTCAATGTCCAATATAGTCGAGAAGATAAAATCTTCAACTGTATACTCCTAATTTTTAAAAAAAGGTTGAATATGTATTTAGAATAAGTTGTAAATCTACATAATTGTTGCCTTTTTAAAATAATGGAATCTGATTTTAAAAACGTTCTTAAAGAAATATTTTCCTTTTAGGTTTTTTGTATGAGTGGAGAAGACAGTTGTTAGAAGTGGAAGTGACAAAATATTTTTAGGATGTTTGAAGATGAAGAAAAAGTGAAATTACGCCGTCTTGAACCAGCTATCCAGAAATTCACTAAGATAGTAATCCCAACAGATCTGGAAAGGTTACGAAAGCACCAGATAAATATTGAGAAGGTAAGGTATTTGTTCTTTACCACAATAAAGTTATATAATGAGATTTATATTTGTTGTACATTTTAGCTAAATTGAGATTAGACAGACTTTGTTAAAATGCCTAACTCCTGTTGATTTAACAATATTTTTAAAAAATATTGGTGTGTTGGTTTAAAATGTTGGTATTTTGGTTCCACAAACGTAACTTTCATATATTCCCTTTTTAGAAAGAGATCTAGGAATAGTCTTCACCATTTTAATTGTATATGTTGAGGTTTTAGTTAGTAGTTAAAATAGTTCACCATAAAATGAAGGTGCAAAACTTTGCATGATAGACCTGCTGTAACTGCATTTACTCCACCTTTTAGGATGTTTTTGAACCTTGAGTGTGTTCCTGGCAATAACTCTTTAATTCTCTTCAGGTACACATATATTAAAGTGAGTTACTCTGTGATGTGAACAAATTTCCTTACTTCTCTGCTTCTCTTTGAGGAGAGCCCAAAATTGAGAAATACTGCCTAGCCCGTTAACAAATTAGTCTAAGGGTCTGTGGTGGAGGTTGCATAGAACCTATACTGGCCAGAGTCTGGTGGAGTAGTTGTGCCCTTTATAGCAATATTGAGTTTACTGAGTACTGAGCATTGATTTGGCAGGTTGTCTTGCTTGCTGTTGAACAGCGCAGTGATCTTTGTTCCTTGACAAGGACCTCTCCCAGTATAAAATTTAAACTGCCTCTTCACTGATTTTTTTTTTTTTGAAGATGGGGCTGGAGGATGTGGTTACAGAACCTTTCAATATAAATGTTATTAGCCAGGCGTTGTGGGGCACGCCTGTAATCCCAGCACTTGGGAGGCTGAGGCAGGAGGATCGTTGCGAGTTTGAGACCAGCCTGGGCTACAAAGTGAGCTCAAGGCCAGCCTTAACTGCATAGCGAGACCCTGTCTCAAAAAAAGACAAAAATCCCCCCCAAAAAAGCAAAAATCAATATAAACACTATTCATCAACTTCAGCTCAGTAGCTTACACAAGTGGCAGCTTTTTCTACCATAGATATTACCTATTTTGTTCATATTTAAGACCTTTTAAATTTAAAAAAAGAGATAGAACATAAGTGCCAAGAATACTAAGATGAGAATTTCAGTGCAAATATAAAGGTTTTCCAAAATTCAGGATTAATATTTTATCATCCTTTAATTTCTTTTTCATTCATTAGTATTAAGTGATGCCATGATTTTTAAAGATGGAGGTATTGTTAGTAAACTGGTTATTCTTGTCATGAATAGAAACAAATTAAAGGATTCTGCATTTTGGTTAATTAGAGGGGCAGGTTTTCTTAGTGTTATAACAATATATAAATAGAATTATTTACTTTTGATTGATCATTTCCAAGTGAGAAGTTTAATCCGGTATGTTTCAAAGCCCTGAGCTATCCTGAAGTAGTTTGTTATATAGATAATGTGAATTTAGTAGATACAGTAATTTGATTCTGAAAGGTAGAAACAGGTGGACAACTAAGGCCATTTCTTGGTTGTCCTACTTTACCTTTGAGGCTTGGCATGTCTTAGCCTTTCTTTTTCTTACTTTTTTTCTATACAAAAATGCGTGCTGTCATTACCCTCACATCCTAGCTACATGTACAGCCCAATCAGTCATCAATGGAAAAGCCTGAGAGAAAGTAGGGATAAATGGATCAATTACTGATTTGACTCATTGTGCCAGATGTCATAAGAAAATTATACAAGAATTAATTACATCAACCCCTTCTCCGCCTGAACATTTTTCCTTTAGCATTTTGTGAAACTTTTACTTACTGTGAAATTTTCAGACATTATCAGAATAAATACAGTATACAATGTGGGTAATAGTGTTAAGCCAAGCAGTTAAACTCATGTTGATTGGTTTTATTTCATGTCCTCAATTATTCAGCTGTCTGTAGGATTTCTAGTATATTTATGGAGGTAAATTTTTATCTAGATAAAATCAAATAGCATATTTTAGTAGATATGTTATGGCAACATAAAAACATTTAGAAGCTGCAGTGCTTATTCTGGACAAGAGTTCAGAACGAAGTTTGGACTCCAGGTGCCTGACAGTGCCTCACTGTCAAACAGGCATATTCTTCTTAGGGGAAAGGTGTAGAAAGATTAAATATTTATTATGCTGGACATCAGTCATCCAATATGAATTTAAAAGAAGAAAGTCAGACTGAGGCGAAGTTGAAGGTAAGCCTTTAGTGGAGTGATTCTGCAATACTGAAAACAATGAGAGTAGTGTGCTGTGGACACCTGGAGTTGTATTCCATAGGTCCTTCAGCATTGTGTTTTATTACACATGATAAATTTTATTAACATGTAATCCTCACATTTGAACTGTTAGCACTCAGCTTTCTTGGCTAATGTAAGACAGACTTAAGCATAGTTAGTAGAAACAACAAGATAATAAGCTTGGAACATAGTTTTTTGTTCATATTGTAGAGACTTGGAGGAAAGCTTGTTGTGTAGCATATACACAGTATTATAATATTATTATTATGTTACATTATATATATTAAGTGTTAGTAAATAGCTAAATTATAAATAGGAAAAAACTTGAAAATCATGTATTAAACAAGGTAGAAATTTTTTTCAGTTGTTTTGATTTTGTCTTTAATCTCTCAGGAGGGAGTGCCAGGGGTGTGATGGCAGCTCTGCAGTTCTAAAGATCGAGATACTTTTTTTCTTGCTCTCCTATCCTAAACTTGTTTCTGTCTTCTCTACTCTAGCACCAGCTATCCCATCACATTCCCCTTAGATGGCATACCCAGAAGTGTACATTTTCTAGCTATGTTCTTTTTTCTCTCAGTGTACCCATGCATATTCTCTCTTTTTTAAAAAAATACTCTTCTTGTTTGATGGAAACGATACCATATCATGACCCTATGGTGTTTCATTTTTTAAAAGTTTTCTACTGTCTTTGTTTTTCTTGATCATTTTCTTCTTCTCTTTCATCCTTTTCTTCTGCTTCAGGATACATTATTATAAGCATTCCTTGGCTGTCTGTTGATATTTAAGAGTGCTGATTGGAAGATGTAGGTACAAATGTGTTTGTGTGTAGGAGGGTAGCAGAGACCTTGTTGCCTTGAGGGGAGAAGAGGTGAAGATCTATTTAATGGGGCTCCACCAGATGGTAGCTATTTATCATCCAGAGTGAGCACTCAGCAGAGCAGTCCTTCGGCTTCCTAGTTGTTGGGTGGTTTATTTGATCAGAGGTGATAGTTGTGGCAGGATGGGGATTAGGAGATCAGAGGGAATGTTATAGTATAAATTTTGTAACTATGCCTTTGAGCTAGGGGCTGGAAAGTAGAAAGGAGGAGAACTAGCTCAGTACCATTCAGAGATCCCTTTTACAGGTTTAGTCTTTTTGCTTGTGGTGCAGTATCTCCTCCCTGCCCTTGTGCTTGGAGTCCAGGACCTTTATTTTCTCCAGTTTGGCGCCTTTGTAAGCTGGAGTGCTGTGTTGTGTTTTAATGAGGCCAGGCCAGTTTCTTGGGAGAAAGCAAAGAGGATCTGGCAGATTATCTGTTCCCTACATACATTTTTAACCAATTCTTCTGCTTCTTGCCCCTCCATACACTTCCACTGTTTACATGGTTGCTTAGTGTTTCTGGAATAGAGCAGTACCTGTGGCTTGTCTGTTAGTGGCTATCTCCCTATGATCCACTCTTCTTCAGGCTTAAGTTTCAGCCTTATGTGATCTGCTAAGTTAAGTGCAACCTATCCTTATTCTTGCCAGGTTCCAGATTTTTCACTTTTTTCTTTTCTTTTTTTAAAATAATTTTTATAGAATTTTAATTGTTTTATTAGCAAATATTTTCAGTATATAATGACTACATTCCTTGTTGGGAATTGGTGCATGTACATAACACATCTTAATTCTGTTTTCATTCCTCTATCCTCCCACTCTCCTCTCTGTTCTCGATCTCTTTTCCCTTTGCAAAAGATCTGTTGCCCTATTTTCTATTACCTATCATTTATTTTGTTCTTTATTTATATTTTAGATTTATTATGTAAGAGAAACCATGTGATATTTAAGCTTGTGCATCTGTATCTATTTCATTTAACATTATAGTCTCCAGATGTATCCATTTTCAACAAATGATTGGTTTGTCTTTCTTTGTGGCACGGTAGTACTCCATGGTGTATAAATATCATTTTCTTTGCCCATTCATCTGTTGATGGGTATACAGGTTGCATTCAAGATTTAGCTGTTATGAATTGTGCTGCTGTAAGCACAGGTATGTGTGTATCACTATAATATTACGTCTTTAACTCAGGAAGATACCTAGAAGGGGAATAGTGGGGACAAATGGAATTTCTAGTTTTAGTTTTTTGAGGAATCTCCATACTGAGTTCCATAATGGTTGTACTAGTTTATATTCCAACAAGGAATGTAGAAAGGTTCCTTTTCCCCTGCAGCCTACCCAGCATTTGTTATTACACTCTTTGATTTCTTGATGACAGCCATTTTTTTCTGAAGCAATGTGATATCTCAGTGTTGTTTTAATTTGCATTTCTCTAATAGCCAGAGATTCTGAACATTATTTTCATGTATTTATTAGCCATTTGTACTTGTTCTTCTGTGAAGTGTCTGTTCATTTCAGTTGCCCACTTTTTGATTGGGTCTTTTATTGGGGGGGTATCTAATTGTTTTAGTTCTTTCTATATTCTAAAATATTAATCTTTTGAGGAATTGGTGACAAAATTTTTTTCCGATCTGTAGTTTGTCTCTTCATTCTGTTTTGTTTCCTTTCCAGTGCAGAAGGTTTTTAATTTAATGTGATTCTACTTACTGATTGTTTTGATGTTGTTTGTTATGCAATTGGGGTTCTGTTAAGAAAATCCTCAAAAGTTTTAACTATTTTATCTTTCATCAGATGGTTTTTTATTTAAAACTTAGATCTTTGATTTGTTTTTATTTTTGCTTAAGACGTGAAAACATATGGGTCTAGATTCAGTCTTCTGCATATGGATAGCCAGTTTTGCC